CCACTAGTGGCAAGATCTCTAACATGACATAGTTCTAAGAGAAAATTCTGATTGGCTGTCATGTCAAAGTGACAGTTGCACACTCCTTTTTGCATTAAAAAGCCAAATCTGAGTTAACAATATACCCAAAAGGGTTAGAAGGGAATCTTTTTTTTTTTTGGGGGGGGGTAAAAGTTTTCAAACTACCATTGATGATGGCTTTTTTTTTTCTTTTTTACGTGCAGGCTCTCCGTGGTTATAAACCGGATCCTAGCATTACAGGAAAAGCAAATAGCCACACAACAATGACGTCACGTCTTGTAAACTTGTAGTAGCAAGTCTCTGCCTAGGACAAAGGAATGGCTTCACCAGAAGAAGATGGAAGTTCTGGAATGCCCAGCCAGAGCTCAGACCTGAATCCGATGGAAGATCTGTGGAGGGATCTGAAGAGGGCTGTGCACAGGAGAGGCCCACGAATGCATTACATCGGTCAGGGCTTGATCGTAGAGATTCTGGCATTACAACATACCGAGTCGCTGGGGTTGATTTACTCCAGTGGTAAATAGGTTGTCCAGCTTGCATGGGTGTTTACCCTTAGGTTACTAAATATGGTGGGAAATTGAAATTCTAAAAATAAATATTTAAAAATTAAAAAAATATATTTTTGCTTGCACACTTGGTTGAGGAAAGCCGTGTGCTGCTATGGCTATTTTTAGTGATATATATATATATATATATATATATATATATACATTTTTTAATTAATATTAATATGGAACAACATTTTTCAGACCATGTATTGTTTTAGAAGCTAGGCCTCCCCTATGGATATGCTAACAGACCTGTTGGACTAGTTTGTGAAGCTCAGAGCAAGTGATATAAATATAGAGTAACATTTTTCAGACCATGTGTTGTTGTTTTAAAAGCTAGGCCTCCCCTATGGATATGCTAACAAACCTGTTGGACTGGTTTGTGAAGCTCAGAGGAAATGATGTCAATATAGAGTAACATTTTTCAGACCATGTATTGTTTTAGAAGCTAGGCCTCCCCTATGGATATGCTAACAAACCTGTTGGACTGGTTTGTGAAGCTCAGAGGAAATGATGTAAATATAGAGTAACATTTTTCAGACCATGTCTTGTTTTAGAAGCTAGGCCTCCCCTATGGATATGCTAACAAACCCGTTTGACTGGTTTGTGAAGCTCAGAGGAAATTATGTAAATATAGAGTAACATTTTTCAGACCATGTATTGTTTTAGAAGCTAGGCCTCCCCTATGGATATGCTAACAAACCTGTTGGACTGGTTTGTGAAGCTCAGAGGAAATGATGTAAATATAGAGTAACATTTTTTCAGACCATGTATTGTTTTAGAAGCTAGGCCTCCCCTATGGATATGCTAACAAACCCGTTGGACTGGTTTGTGAAGCTCAGAGGAAATTATGTAAATATAGAGTAACATTTTTCAGACCATGCATTGTTTTAGAAGCTAGGCCTCCCCTATGGATATGCTAACAAACCTGTTGGACTGGTTTGTGAAGCTCAGAGGAAATGATGTAAATATAGAGTAACATTTTTCAGACCATGCATTGTTTTTAGAAGCTAGGCCTCCCCTATGGATATGCTAACAAACCTGTTGGACTGGTTTGTGAAGCTCAGAGGAAATTATGTAAATATAGAGTAACATTTTTCAGACCATGCATTGTTTTAGAAGCTAGGCCTCCCCTATGGATATGCTAACAAACCTGTTGGACTGGTTTGTGAAGCTCAGAGGAAATGATGTAAATATAGAGTAACATTTTTCAGACCATGTCTTGTTTTAGAAGCTAGGCCTCCCCTATGGATATGCTAACAAACCTGTTGGACTGGTTTGTGAAGCTCAGAGGAAATGATATAAATATGGAGTAACATTTAGAAGACCATGTATTTTGCTAGCTGCTAAGCCTCCCCTGTTGATATGTTAATGGACTCAGAGAGGGAAGAACCCATAAGACGACTCCATCAAAGGTTAGTGGTCTGTTAGGTCTGATGTTTTGGAAATTTAATTTATTTTGTTCTTTAAACTACCCACACTCCCACTGGGGGGTTGCTTTGGTGCTCCTCTGTAGCTCTTGTTTTCTGGTGATTTTACATCTGACCACTCCTGCTCTCTTGGATGGTGCATCCCGCCAGAACATGGATTCCAGTCTCCCATCTCGGAATTCATCTGGTTTTTTTTTGCTGAATACAGTTGTGTCCAAAATTATTCAACCCCCACTGAAATTGAGTGTTTTGGCCAGTTTGACATTGCTTTTGATCATTCAGTCATCTTGCTTACATTTACATTAAAGAGGCACTTGTAGGTCAGACAAATATATGCTAACATAACAGTTATAATGAAATAACCACAAATGTTTTTCTGTGCTCACAGCATTATCAGTTTATTCAACCCCCAAGTGACATTCAATCTTAGTACTTAGTACAGCATCCTTTTACAGTTATAACAGCTTTTTTAAACGTGAGGCATAGCTTGACACAAGTGTCTTGCAGCGATCTACGGGTATCTTCGCCCATTCTTCATGGGCAAAGGCCTCAGTTCAGTCACATTCTTAGGCTTGCGCACTGCAACTGCTTTCTTTAAGTCCCACCAGAGGTTCTCAATCGGATTTAAGTCTGGTGACTGCGATGGCCACTCCAAAATGTTCAGCCTTTCCTCTGCAACCATGCTTAGTGGAAGGTATGCTTGGGATCATTGTCCTGTTGAAAGGTCCAACGTCTCCCAAGCCTAGGTGTGATGATGCATCACGTTTCCATCAATATCTCTGGTACTGAAGAGAATTCATGGTACCTTGCACACGCTGAAGCTTCCCTGTACCTGCAGAAGCAAAACAGCCCCAAAGCATGATTGACCCTCCACCATGCTTCACAGTAGGCAAGGTTCATTTTATCATAGGCCTTGTTCTTCCTCCTCAAACATAGCGTTGATCCATGGGCCCAAACAGTTCTAATTTTGTTTCTATCAGTCCACAGAACTTCCCTTTTGTGATTGTCCACATGGCTTTGGCATATGCAGTCGACTCTTCTTAGGAGACAGCAAGGGGGTACGCCTGGGAGTTCTGGCACGGAGGCCTTCATTAAGTGTGCGTCTTATTGTCTGGGCTGAAAACTTCTGTACCCACATCTGACAAATCTTTTCTCAGTGGGGACTTCTCTCCACTAGCTTCAGTAGCGCACAGCAGTGATGTTTTTTTCTGCCACGACCAGGTAGCGTTTCAAATGCCCTTTGCCTTGAATTTAATTGCTTCCTAAGGTGTCTCTTGGTATGTTTAACATCTTTGCAATCTTCTTATAGCCATTGCCCTTCCTGTGAAGAGAAATCACCTCTTCTCTTGTCTTCCTGGACCATTCTCTTGCTTCACCATGTTTGTAACTCCAGTAAATGTCTAGAAGGAGCTGAGTATCTCATTTTTTGCCTAATGGTGATTTGCTTGATTGCTGCATCTGGTGACATCACAGGTGTTTTCAATCTGATGGAAAGGTGAATCCCTGTTCTTCAGAGTGGTAGTCATGGAATAATCCAATGTCCACATAAGAACCCATACTCATAAACAATTCATCTCTTTTTTTACAACGTTTGTAGGATTTGATTCTGCAATTCTGACATATGTCCCTAAACCCCTTTACAGCATTGTAAGGACACAAACTGTATTTTTTTGGTTTATGTGATAAAATCTTTTTGATTATTTGCCCATTCATTCTTTAGTATATTAATTTATGATTGTTTATATATTTACTAGAAAGTCTCTTGTTCTTTATGCCCCCCGAGGAAGATCTAAAATGTTGACGAAACGCGTGGGGGTATTTTTTCTCCTTTCTGTGTGGTCTCTCGCTTTGTATTAAGAGTTCTTTTGTAAGAACACTGTCAGCGCAATGTCTCTTTTATAAATCCTGTATCTAATATTGTACAAAAATGTAATAAAGCTGACAAAATGTTTTTACTATAATGTGTCCTTGGATATATGTATGACCTTTCATTGCTGAAATAAAGTCCAATTGGGGGGCTTTTGGTGGTCATACAGGGATGAGCAGGCAGATAGTCGACTTCTTTTGGTTAGTAGCTGTTTAGTATACTTACTATATACATTGTCCATGCTAATTTGCTGGGAAGGATAGATAGTTAGGCATGTGTATACTGTATGCACATCTTGTGATACTTTGTATGTGTCAGGAATGGACTCAGCACTGATGGTGGGACTCACCTGCCATGTGGGCTGCAGTACCAGGGCTGACCAGCGGGTGCTCTCAGCAGCCAGAAGCTCACTCCTGCAATCAGCCAAACCTGGGGCTGATTGCAGAAGGTGTATTTAAGGCATGACCAGGCCTGTGATCAGGGCCTTGGTGTATGTTTTCCCATGAGCCCCTGTACCTGGTATCCTGTGTTCCTGCTTCGTTGCTGACCCTGCTTGATCCTGACTCTGCTGACCGTCTCCTGTTGAACCCCTGCTTGCCTGACCATCCTTCTGCCTGATCCCCTGTACCACGCTGCCCGTGAGTTACTGAACCCAGCTTGTGACCCTGACCATTCTCTGCCTGCTCCTTTGGTACCTTGTTGCCCGCACATTGCTGACCTGGCCCGTCTGACCACGCTAACTACTCTACCATCCATCCATCCTGCACGGATCCAGCCGTCCCTGCTCACACCTTCTGCCTCTTCACATCAGGCTTTCTACCTGCACATACCTCTGGCAGATCCCTCTACCACGAGCAGGTGTACTCAGGGGCCGCGACCTGGTTCCTGTCTGCTCCAAGTCCATCCCCACCATCAGGGGCCCTGGTGAATAAGCAGACTGGGACTTAGACTCCGCGCCCTGGGGAATCCTGTCATGGTAGAGGGATCCGCCAGAGGTATGTGCAGGTAGAAAGCCTGATGTGAAGAGGCAGAAGGTGTGAGCAGGGACGGCTGGATCCGTGCAGGATGGATGGATGGTAGAGTAGTTAGCGTGGTCAGACGGGCCAGGTCAGCAACGTGCGGGGGCAGCAAGGTACCAAAGGAGCAGGCAGAGAATGGTCAGGGTCACAAGCTGGGTTCAGTAACTCACGGGCAGCGTGGTACAGGGGATCAGGCAGAAGGATGGTCAGGCAAGCCAGGGGTTCAACAGGAGACGGTCAGCAGAGGTCAGGATCAAGCAGGGTCAGCAACGAAGCAGGAACACAGGATACCAGGTACAGGGGCTCATGGGAAAACATACACCAAGGCCCTGATCACAGGCCTGGTCATGCCTTAAATACACCTTCTGCAATCAGCCCCAGGTTTGGCTGATTGCAGGAGTGAGCTTCTGGCTGCTGAGAGCACCCGTGTCAGCCCTGGTACTGCAGCCCACACGGCAGGTGAGTCCCACCATCAGTGCTGAGTCCATTCCTGACAGTATGCTGTGAATTGTTTTTCCTCCAGTTGTATGTGCAGCCTGTTTAGGAAAATATTAATACACTACAGAGATTTTCAGGCTTCCTTGCTTTACTGCAAAGTGACCTTAATATTATTATTATTATACAGTGTTTATATAGCGCCAAAGGGTTTGCTCAGCGCTGTACAGTAGCAAGGGGACAGAACATGAGACAAGACAGTAACAATACAATACACGAGGGGTTCGAGGGCCCTGCTCTTTCGAGCTTACAATCTAGGATAGATGAAGACCAAACAAATGGGGACTTGTGGCTGGGATTTGTGCTACAGTTCAACTGAAGCAGACCTGTTTGTTGTTCACGCCCTTTTCCCTCCCAACACTTCCTGCACACCATTTCCTCTGAGCTTCACAAACCAGTCCAACAGGTTTGTTAGCCTATCAATAGGGGAGGCCTAGCTTCTAACAACACTACATGGTCTAAAAATGTTTGCTCCAAATTTAATGCTATAAAAAGCCACAGCAACACAAGTTGCAGAGCTTTTCCTCATTCACTATGTTAGGGGAAAATTCCCTTTCAAAATGAACATTCTTTTTCAGCCTTGCTCTACTTTTTTTAGTATAGGGGATCCTTGTGAAATAATCTTTAGTTCTTGGGAACCCCTCGCAAAACCAATTCGACTGGGGTCAGTGGGCAAAATGCCCATTATATTGGTGGTCAGTAGGAATAACATTCCCATTATGGTGGTGGTCAGAATGCCCCCCCCCCCCTTACAGTCAGCTAAAACAATCATTGGTGTGGATGTTATGGCTCTGCCAAGTTACATAGTTAGTCTGGCTGAAAAAAGACAAAAATCCATCAAGTTCAACCATTAAAAAGTTATAACCCTACACCCACAGTTGATCCAGAGGAAGGCAAAAAAACCCAGCAAAGCACGATCCAATCTGCTCCTGCAGGGGAAAAAATTCCTTCCTGATCCCCCGAGAGGCAATCGGATATTTCCTGGATCAATATTCGGAATTCTTTGGATCCCTTTCCCTAAAATGTTATATCCAGTTATATTCTGTGTATCCAAGAAAGAATCCAGGACTTTCCTACAGCAATCCACTGAGCTGGCCACAACCAACTCTTGAGGGAGTCTATTCCCTGGTGTTGCCCTGGAATTATGTCGCACCACCAAATGGGAGGTCAATCTGCCACGGCTCAAGGAACCCCCAGCAACCTCTGGAGGAACCCTGGTTGAGAATGACTTGTCTATTTAGCCAATCAACCCCACTGACTGTATACAGGCATACAGCCAGTGAAGTCTGGAAAAGACTCAGTATCTCTCCATTTCTATCCTACATGCTTGTTCCAAGGCTGTGAATCCAGGATCATGTTGATAACTTCACTTTAAAGAACAAGTCAGCATAGAATATTTTTGGTCTCAGGGTTTCTATTTAATTTCCCATTTTACTAGAAGGGCAAAGAATTTAGGAGGTGGGGGTGAAGGTTAGGTTTAGGACCACTTGGGGGGCATTTACTAAAACTGGAATGTGCAAAATCTGGTGCAGCTCTGCACAGAAACCAATCAGCTTCTAGGTTTTATTGCCAAAGCTTATGTAAGGGACCTCCCGGCGGTACCACTAGCACTCCACTGAATAGGCGTCCCCAGCGCACGGAATCTAAGTCCCAGGGTGCTTGTTCACCAGGGCCCCTGATGGTGGGGATGGACTTGGAGCCCCCCGAGACCAGGTCGTGGCTACTGGATACGTCCGTCAGTGGTAGTGGTATGCGCCAAGGGCTCCCACGGGAAAGAGTCTGATATGAGGAGGTCAGAAGACCCCACTGCAAGGGATGGACGGATGGATGAGCAATGTCAGACAGGCCGGGTCGGTAACAGAGAGGACGGTAAGGTACAAGGCAGCGGGCAGAGAATGGTCGGGTCACATGCCAGGTCAGCAACAGCAGGTCAAATCCAATAGGGGGCATCCAGGAGAGAGGTCAGGCAAAGCAAGGGTCAGGATAGGAGAAAGCAGCAAGGTCAGGTACAATCTGGGTCAATAACTTACAGGGTACAGGTTCGCAGAATCACAGGATGCAGGAAAGACCAGAAGGCACTGAATGACAGCTCAGGGCCATTTAAATATCCCGCCCTGCGCTGCCATTGATGCCCAGCGGGCGGCTGCGGCTTTCTACTGCGCATGCGCGAACTCGAACGCCGCGGCCGGCCCGGACCTAGTGCCCGTGTCCCTGCACAGGGCGGTGCACTGCGCCTGCGCCGGGACCATCGCGGACAGCTTAATTGAACAAGCTGAAGTTAGAAGCTGATTGGCTAACATGCACAGCTGCACCAGATTTTGCACACTCCAGTTTTAGTAAATCCCCCCCCTTGTGTCTGCTAGCTGTCTGTCTAAGAGCGAGTTGAACTGTCAACCAGCATAATTTATCACACATTAGCATTTTAAAACGACTCCCAAATACTAAAATAAAACGCGGGGATCCAGAGTACCGTTTAAAGTCTGATAGACGCTAGAACAAAGAAGCTGTGCCCACCAACATCACAAAACGGATTCCAAAAACCGAATACGCCTTCTATCTGTAGGCCTACATGACATGTGAGGTGGGTCGCAGAGAACCTCTTCAGCAAATGCAGTTTGCCTCCTACACAAGTGTGACTCATAAAGTGTCAGAAAGCTTAAAAAAAGTGTTCACTCACCAAGACTAATGTCTCCAAATCTTCTGTAATTATTAGATATCACTTATTAACAATAATTCAAGCTGCAGACCGCAGATCATAAATGTGACTTGCATTATTTATTCAGAACTGAATCATTCATTGTAGAGGTGTCTTCAGAATGTATTCTGTGCCCAGACTGATGACAATATTAAACCTCTGTCCTTAAAGAAGTCTTTCGCAAACTTTTTACTATGAAGGGACCCTCAAAATAATGTTCTTGTCTCTGGGAACCCTTGCTAAAAAGTGATACCTGAAGATCATTGTGTATTTGTCCATGTTGGTGGTGGATAAGAGAAGGGCACACTTACACTGGTGGTCAGTAGAATGAATGACGACTACACTAATGGTGGACATTGGTGGACAGTGGGAAGAATGCTCCCTATACAGGCAGCTAACATGATCATTGATGTCAGTGAATCTAAACTAAACAGCTCATCCACTCCCTCATCATATCACGACTCGACTACTGCAACTCCCTCCTCACTGGCCTGCCTCACCGCTGGCTATCCCCGCTTCAGTCCATCCTGAATACGGCTGCCAGACTCATTCACCTTTCCAACCGCTCTGTATCCTCCACCCCTCTCTGCCAATCCCTCCACTGGCCTCCACTCATTGTCCTCCACCCCTCTCTGCCAATCCCTCCACTGGCCTCCACTCAGTGTCCTCCACCCCTCTCTGCCAATCCCTTCACTGCCTCCACTCAGTGTCCTCCACCCCCCTCTGCCAATCCCTCCACTGGCCTCCACTCATTGTCCTCCACCCCTCTCTGCCAATCCCTCCACTGGCCTCCACTCAGTGTCCTCCACCCCTCTCTGCCAATCCCTCCACTGGCCTCCACTCAGTGTCCTCCACCCCTCTCTGCCAATCCCTCCACTGGCCTCCACTCAGTGTCCTCCACCCCCCTCTGCCAATCCCTCCACTGGCCTCCACTCATTGTCCTCCACCCCTCTCTGCCAATCCCTCCACTGGCTTCCGATTGCGCAACGATTGATCAAATTCAAAATCCTAATGCTGACGTACAAAGCCGTCCACCATACTGCCCCGAACTACATCATTGACCTAATATCCAAGTACCACCCAACACGCACACTCCGCTCCTCACAAGACCTCCTTCTCTCTAGTTCCCTGGTCTCCTCCTCCCATGCCCGCCTCCAGGACTTCTCCAGGGTGTCACCCATCCTCTGGAACTCCCTGCCCCAACCCATCAGATTATCACCTACTCTCCTCTCCTTTAGGCGCACCCTGAAAACCCATCTCTTCAGGGAAGCCTACCCCACCCCCCCCTGCTAACTTGCTGACCTCCTCCACTCTTCCTACCACCCCATCCCCCACAGCTATCTCCTCCTGTGCCACCATCCCCTCCCTCCTAGATTGTAAGCTCCAAGGAGCAGGGCCCTCAATCCCCTCATGTTTTGCATTGTATTGGTATTGTTCTGTCACATGTTCTGTCCCCCTCTGTAATGTACAGCGCTGAGCGACTATCGGCGCTTTATAAATACTGTATAATAATAATAATAATAATAATGTCAGTGGTGTCTAAGGAACAAGAGGAAAATCTCCACTAACCCAATGCCAATGGCTTTGCCGAGGGATGTTGGTGGCACAGCTATGCAGGCACCATCAGGCAGGAGATCAATCCACAATTGCTCAAGCAACATCTGAAGGTACCCTTGGGTTCCACGGAACCCTGGTTAAGAAAAGCTGCCTAAAGCATATCCAAAGTCCAAAACCTGTTTTTGGTTAGTTTTGGAAAGAGTAGTGGGGATGTGTTACAAACTCTGCCGGGAAAATTCCTTTTCTCAATTTGTCTATTGTCACCAGGACAGAAAGATGAGAATTTCAGTGGAATGTTCCACTGGGGACACTTGGTATTATTTCGGAGAGATTTCTTCTCACTTCCTGTTCTGTCTTCAGGGTGGGAGCAGCGGTGTATTTAGGTTTAATGCTGCCCTAGTCAACACAAAAATCGCCCCCCCATGGAGAGACCCTGACACCGACCAACACCCCCCCCCTCCAAAAGTGCCTGATATTGACCAACAACACCCCAGCCCCCCACCCGAGATAGCCTTCCACTACCACCGCCCCCCCATACACTGGCAACCCCCCCCCCCCCACTCTGGCACGAGAGAAGACACTCACCTTCACAGCTCAGGACACTCCCCCCGGGAACAAGAGTCAGGCTCTGCATACATCATCATGCAGCCCACAGCCTCTCTCAGATCCCACCTGGTCCCCATGCTGTGTGGTCCCCATGCTGTGTGGTCCCCATGCTGTGTGGTCCCCATGCTCTTCTTCCATCCCTTCTTTAGGGGGACGGCGCTGCCGCCCGAAAAATGCCGTTGCCTCCTTGAAAGATGTCGCCCTAGGCAGATGTCTTGTTTGCCTTGTGGTAAATACGCCCCTGGGCAGGAGGTGCAAGAAATCTCCCCAGTTGGACAAATAAAAAACCCTTGGATGTGTACGAAGGTATGTTTAACTTACAGGTAGAGAGCATCAAATACAACCAACTTGTTTCAAGGAAAAAACTGCCTCCCCTTGTTCAGGGTTTGAGCAGTCAATGTTATTAAAATCACAACAGAATGTGCTAAGGGGCCTGTGTAAAGATTTGATGAACGTCTCCTGATGACACTAAAAAAAGAACTTCACAGGGGTTGTCATCATTCCCTGCTCAAAACACGCAAAAAAAATGTCCTCATGTAGCGCTACCCCCGTAGGAGCCACTGATTTCACTGGTTCCACCATTTACACATGTAACAGTCCATTTACTCTGGCTCCATTAAACAGTCTAGGCCACATGTGTTAAACATGAGGCCCGCCAGGCCACTTCATGTGGTCCTCACACCTCTCCTGCAGCTGCCACATCCTCCTCGTCTCCGCCACCACCTTGTCTCAGCAGTCGCAGCAGAGAGGAGGACGGAACTCCTCCTTCAGGTTCTGTACTTCTCCACGCAGTCACTAAGAGGCTCGTCTCCGCACCCCTACCACCGTCTCAGCAGTCTGCTGCAGAGAGGAGTACAGAACTCCTCATACAGATCCTGAGCCTCTCTGTGCAGCCGCAGCACCACCTCATCTCCGCCACCCCTGGTCTCAGCATTCATCAGACTCCAGTAGCTGACTCCAGCCCTCCTCCGGTCCTCTGCCTGACCCTGCACTTTCTGCTTCCCAGCTCCACCCCTAGCTTCTTCTTGGCAGCAGCATAAAGTAAGGGGGGCGATGCACTGTGATGTAAGGGAGGGTGGAGGACTCTGGACTTCTTGAGGTAGGAGGCTCTTGTCATCTAATGTAAGGGGGGCGATGCACTGTGATGTAAGGGAGGGTGGAGGACTCTGGACTTCTTGAGGTAGGAGGCTCTTGTCATCTAATGTAAGGGGGGCGATGCACTGTGATGTAAGGGAGGGTGGAAGACTCTGGACTTCCTGAGGTAGGAGGCTCTTGTCATCTAATGAAAGGGGGGGGGGTGCTCTGTGATGTAAGGGAGGGTGGAGGACTCTGGACTTCTTGAGGTAGGAGGCTCTTGTCATCTAATGTAAGGAGGGTGGGGTGCACTGTGATGTAAGGGAGGGTGGAGGACTCTGGACTTCCTGAGGTAGGAGGCTCTTGTCATCTAATGAAAGGGGGGGGGTGCTCTGTGATGTAAGGGAGGGTGGAAGACTCTGGACTTCCTGAGGTAGGAGGCTCTTGTCATCTAATGTAAGGGGGGTGGGGTGCTCTGTGATGTAAGGGAGGGTGGAGGACTCTGGACTTCTTGAGGTAGGAGGCTCTTGTCATCTAATGTAAGGAGGGCGGGGTGCACTGTGATGTAAGGGAGGGTGGAGGACTCTGGACTTCTTGAGATAGGAGGCTCTTGTCATCTAATGTAAGTGGGGTGGGGTGCACTGTGATGTAAGGGAGGGTGGAGGACTCTGGACTTCTTGAGGTAGGAGGCTCTTGTCATCTAATGTAAGTGGGGTGGGGTGCACTGTGATGTAAGGGAGGGTGGAGGACTCTGGACTTCTTGAGATAGGAGGCTCTTGTCATCTAATGTAAGGAGGGCGGGGTGCACTGTGATGTAAGGGAGGGTGGAGGACTCTGGACTTCTTGAGATAGGAGGCTCTTGTCATCTAATGTAAGGGGGTGGGGTGCACTGTGATGTAAGGGAGGGTGGAAGGACTCTGGACTTCTTGAGATAGGAGGCTCTTGTCATCTAATGTAAGTGGGGTGGGGTGCACTGTGATGTAAGGGAGGGTGGAGGACTCTGGACTTCTTGAGGTAGGAGGCTCTTGTCATCTAATGTAAGTGGGGTGGGGTGCACTGTGATGTAAGGGAGGGTGGAGGACTCTGGACTTCTTGAGGTAGGAGGCTCTTGTCATCTAATGTAAGTGGGGTGGGGTGCTCTGGACATCCA